AATATATCACCGTTACACCCTAAGAATGGTTGAGTTTGAATTTCGTAAAAATCGGACCGAAACTGACGGACAAAATGGCCGCCCCTCGTTCGCAAATAGTGTTAAAATATTGCGCATCAGCGTTGTGGACCCTCTGGAGGTCACAATTTTCGTCTGATTTTGATGAAACTTAAAATGCATGTTTATAACCCACTGATTTCAGTTCCGTTCGATATTCGCGCATATCGGACCATAACGTCCTGAATTATGGCTCCTGATTGTACAAAAAAATCACGTTTTTAGCTTGCGGACCCCATAGAGGTCACAATTTTTATCCGTTTACAAAACCGTTTGAATATATCACCGTTACACCCTAAGAATGGTTGAGTTCGAATTTCGTAAAGTCGGACCGAAACTGACGGACAAAATGGCCGGCCTCGTTGGCAAATAGTGTCAAAATATTGTGGAGGTTTCAATTTTCATCTGATTTTGATGAAATTTGAAATGCATGTTTATAACACAAATATCTTGGTTCCTTTCTATTTTCGTGCATATCGAATCGTAACTTCCTGAATTATGGCCCCTGATTGTACGGAAAATCTAATGTTTAGCTTGTGGTCCCTCTAGAGGTCACAATTATTATCCGATTTAAAAAAAAACCGTTCGAATATATCACCGTTACACCTTAGTTTTGTTTGTGGTTGAGTTTCATTAAAATCGGACCAAAATTGCCAGACAAAATGGCCGCCCCTCGTACCGAAATAGTGTAAACATCTGGTATATCAAAGTTGTGGACCCCTAGAGGCCACAATTTTGATCCGATTTTGATGAAGCTTGAAATGCAAGTTTATATCTTGGTTCCTGTCAATATTCGCTCATATCGAATTTTAACTTTCTGAATTATGGCCTCTGGTTGTACCTTGTGGTCCCTCTAGATTCAAGTTTGAATATCGAAAAACGAGTAGCTCTTTTTTCGACATTCGCCAATATCGAATAACGGGTTAATTGATCGGACTAACTTCAGACTGAGGAATTATGATCACTCATTGTCTCACATACATGATTCCTAACATATGTGAGGTCTACATTTCTTAAATTTATTTTTAGTGAATCCCTGTGCTATATGCAACCACTGTAAAAATAATGGCAGCTGTTATCCATCAGAATTTGGCGTGAATTGTAGCTGTCCTCCTGGATTTATAGGAGAATTTTGTCAAGGTAAGCATTTACTAAATTGTTACCTTAGTAACTTGCATAATATTGTTATACTTAAAAAAAAAACAGTTTTATGATCATAGAGAAAAGTTAGGATTAATTGTCTTGTTCGCTGTGCCGTCGCCTTTAGATGAATTCCGGGACTAGTACAATTCGATCGCCCAGCTGTCGGTATGTCACACATTTTGGACACAATAACCTTGTTTTTTAATTGAGACTTAATTCGATTAGCTTGATATTTATACACAGTGTTTATTTTCATAAGACGAACAATAATATTGATTTTCATGCATTAAATTTATTGCTATCAATGTTATCTCCTTTAACCGATTTGGAAAATCTCGTGAAAGCTCAAGGGACTACAGTTATTATTGGATTGACTTGATACATAGTCTGATTGGAGTCATCTATCTGGCCGTTGTGTACAACGACCCTTCTTTCAATATATTCAAGTTTTCCTTTCGAATCAGAATAATTTAATCTATTGATTTCTGTGACTTTTCGTGACATCGCTATTGTGTTGGCCTATTCGCCACGTTTTACTGATTACGAAAATTGCACCATAACCACAATTAAAGATGGCGAGAAAATGAAATGGGGTTTAACGTCTTACTGTTCTGCTCCGAACTGGGCTAAGGAAGACGGGTATGCTATATAGTGTGCTATGAGTGAAATTGTGCCCGGACAGCGGCACTACGACCTACTCTTATATCGAATTCCAATGTGTACACGGACCTCGGTTTTTCGTCCCATCATAACGACTACACAACTGTACTTTTCAATCCCTCCGACTTGCATCATTGACAAGTGGAACCACACCGAAAAATCTGGATGAACTTTCTCGACCAATGCAGGGATCGAACACCCGACCACCAGACTAGCGAGCCAGCGTCTTACCCACCGTGATCGCCAAAGATGGTGAGAAAACACCATATATACATTTTAACTATAATTAATTGATGCCATGTTGTCTTGGATTCTGTCTCTATTCCAGATCCCGAAGACATAACATAGTAGTAGTAGAGGGTAAGAAAAAATATCGTATTTGCATATTAACTATAATTGTGTAACACAAAGTTACTATTAAAATTACACAATTCCAATTGATGCAATGACAGATGATTTGGTATCTGGACCTAACCACAGATTTAAACTTATCACAGGTGGTAACCTATTGAATGTGAAATGTTTACGTGGACAATGTGTTGTGAGTTGTGTCTCTCTATTGAATGATCACTGTATCTTTTGGTGAGTCATATGATCAGATGCTGCGATTAACATCCATGGCACAATGATTTATCACATAGGTGTTTATTTATATTAACAACACTGTAATATTATTTTACAGTGAGAGGATGTAACGTGACAGAGTGTAAGGCTAGTGAGGGACAATGTGTCATACAAAGATGTTATACCGATGGTAAGTTACCTAGTCTTCTAAAACAGTCCAGTTATATATTATCCAAATAACACTCAAATAACTATAATGTATACCACATGATACAATTATATGGAATTTATAAGGTGGTATTTACTGATAAAATTTAAATTCCATCAAAAAATTTGTGGATTAACTGGACATATTCCTTGGATTGCTTTGTCACATGTCACTTAATCATTTTTATACAACCACATGTTCATGTGGACGCATGTTGTCGTTGCTCCAGTCTGTCTGTCCACCCGCTCGCCCGTTATGTCCACCCGCCCATCCGTGTTTCTGTCTGTTCACATTTGTCCCGGTTCCTTTCGATATTGGCCTGTATAAGACCGCATCTTCATGGGTTATGACCCCTGATTGTACGAAGAATGGCGTTTGTTTGGCTTGAAACTATCAAGGTTGTCAAGGTTGTGGACCCTTTAGAGTTTCCAATTTTGATCCGATTTTAATGAACCTTAAAATGTATATTTTTTTTCACTATCAGCCCACAGAAAATATTATTGCTACACAATTATTGCTCCGATCACGAAGATTTGGATTATGATATGTAAGTTGTGCACGCTTAGAAGTTTTAGAAAAGCCATTATATATGCCTGTTTCAAAATAATAATAATAATTTCTCTTTTAGAAGCGACTGTTAAATGTTTGTTTTGTCTATTCCTTCGGAGACGGTTCATAATTTTTATAAATTGTCCTAATCCCTTTGTAAATTATTTGCAATAAAATATGTTGAAACTAATAATCACAATGTAACACAATACATTATAATTTCCCCCTACTGAGTATTGTAATTAATGAATATAATGATATCTTAGTTTATATTGCGTCTTTAAATCTCCGTAACCTGGGAGGTATTTCGGCAAAGGTCATAGATCGACATTGATTTTAGAGCTCATTGTGCTACATGGGAGATGTGTGTAACCGTATGCCACCTTAAATTAATATAATTATTTCTACAAAGAATTATATTTTTAAAGTCCACACTGTTGACCACCAATTGAGTTTTTAATTACAATAAATCATATGGTTTATTCTGCTCGATGTGCGACGTTAAAATATATATATACAGTTGGCTTAACTTGAATGTAGATATTAAATATCTATTTTGCATATATATCATTTTTCAGTTAAAAAGGTGTCAGCTTTCCTTGTACGAAGAGACACTTGGACGAGACAGGTGTTGGCAATATATTCATTGCGGCGTCTATACACACTTTGTGGTCCATAACGTCGTTGTCAAGGGAAACGTGACTCGTCGATTAACCCTTCTCGCCTCTAGTTTCCAAAATTCTACGTCTGTACCTTTGTTCAGCAGCGAACACGCAAATGTCGATGTTGACGTCACAGGACGGGCCAACATACGTGTCGTAGCCAGTTATCTAGCTTGCAAAAGTCGGTTCCGAACAGTTTTTGTAGATACCCTTCTAATACCAGACAAGCGTCTAGGACTTCCGCCACGCAACTGGAGAACCCAGATGTAACGATATTTTGATGCAGTTGTTATGTAGGATCTTCCACCACTTCGAGGTCAGTTTTATGCTGTGTTCGATAGTATACACAAATCATAGATTGTATTCACTTAATGTTAATCTATAGCTAACAAACGTATTAATCTCTGACAACCCAACCCATATTTATAACATTATACATTAAGAAGACAGACATAATTCAAACATTTACAGATTATACGTCATTTAATCAAGTTTTTTTTACTGCTAGGGGATACTTTGCAATCCATTATTCTATTGTTTTCTAGTAACCGTTTCTAAGGGTTACTGGATATCAACCATTCTTGTGATGAGTATCTGCATATTTGAATCTTGAATAACAAGTTGAATAAATAATAACGATGTAGCGTAACCCAAATTGTTATACGTTATTGATGGAATAATAGAAAGAGAGTTGCTGATTTTAGAAGGTGGTTTACTCAAGAACGACTGTACTATACGAGCTGGGAGCCACCCAATCATTGTGATGTCATATAAAGATTAACAATTCGTCCATTCCGATTTCTGCTAACTTAAACTTAATCCACCATTTATAAAATTTGATTATGATATGCAACATGGCAGCCATGCGAATCAATAAATCAATTAAACACGTTCATAACTTAAATAAATTTTATTATGTTATTCTGTTTCTCGAAGAGTTAATCTACCATATGTATAAAATTTTATGGTAATATGCAACATGACAGCCATGCTAATACATAAAACATATCTATTACTTTAATAAATTCCCTTTATATCCGCCACTTTAATTATTTGTTGTGGCAACCCCAAAAACATAATGTACAATAGAACACATGTGATCAGGTATTTGTGTATAAAACAAACGAAAGACTCCGTGTTCAACAGTCTAACTGTTTCACGTACTCGCTATAGTAGAGTATAGTATAGTATTATAGTAGTATCATCATGCGTGTTATTTTGTCGATTGCATTGATTTTGACCACTGTTGCCACACTCTGTGGAGCGATGTGTGAATCCTGCTGCAAAGGTGGGCTCTTTTTATTATAAGATATTATTGATTTTCTTTTTTTCAAATATTTGTTATTTTCTGAAATGTCTTCACCGAGCCTAAACAATATGGCGCGTGATATACTTTGTATATGTTGTAGTGTGCTAGACAAAATAATGAAAGAAATTGTAATCCCTTTAGATGCCTGTGAGATGGACAGTCGACATATATAATATAACATCTACAATGCTTTATCAAATTAAACACAATAAACCCTAAGAGACATCAATTGTTTGTCTGGGTGGACTGGGTAGCTCAGGGTCCTGGGACTAACTGGTTTCCTTCGGACATGGCGATAAAAACAAAACATGTTTGATTCACCATTCCCGCGCCCCACGCAGGCAATATTTGTTTTCAGTGGTTGCAAAGATTAAAGTTCACCTTTCTATTTTTTAACCGATTTCAAAATGATCATCATGGTAAACAAATATTTGAACATTTCCTGTCAATCTTTTATAAAATGTACCATGTAATTAATGTGTAACTGTGTAATAATGGAATAGAAAAACTATCAAAGTTATTACATAAGTTAATATTATTAATTCTAGTGTCAGCTTGTACTCCAAATCCCTGTAAAAATAATGGTACTTGTACACCACCCGAGAACGAATACCGCTGTAGTTGTACTCCTGGGTATGTAGGACAAAACTGTGACGGTAAGATACATTATATATCAATGATTTCCTGAGAGAGAGAGAGAGAGAGAGAGAGAGAGATAGAGGGAGTGAGAGAGAGAGAGATAGAGGGAGTGAGAGAGAGAGAGAGAGAAAGAGAGTAAAATAATAAAGGTGTCTGGATTGCAAACTGCGCGTGTCATCGTTTTAGTTTTCGAAATTGCTTTAGTAACTAAACCACGTGCTTTTGTTTATCATTATGCCTGCAAAGACTGATTCTGTATAATTCGGTACAAGCAAAATCAAAGTGGTATTACTCCAAACATTAAATGCCGGAATGGGTGAATAATCATGGGTGAAACCAGCCATGTTGTTTATATTTTTGTGCATATTTAATTCTAGTGAATGTGTGTCTACCTAACCCATGTGAAAATAATGGCACTTGTTCACCAGTTGATAAGGGTTACATCTGTAATTGTACTACGGGATATTTCGGAAAACTCTGTGACGGTAAGTTAGATACATTATTTAATTTAGCCAGCCTTTATTGACCAGCCAACAGGCTCATTTATGAACAAACCATACCCTAAAGGAATCAAGATGCAGCCTTGTTTGACACCAGATTGATATAAGAATTCACCCATTACATCTGGATTAAATCTTTACATTAAACATATATTATGTAAGAGCTAAATCTGCCTAATGCGGATCTTTCTGTGGGCCCGAAATGTTATCTAAATTATTATTTAGACATTAATTAACTTATCCAGATCATAATCAACTCTCTATGTCAACGCTAGCCTGCGATATTTTTTAGATTATGATTATATTTGCTGCTCAACTTTCATTCCTAATTTAATCATGAAATAGATAATCGAAACTATGTTTTATCGTGCCGACTTTAGTAATGATGATCGAGGCAAGGCCGAAAGTTCAATCGCTTAATTATCGGTTCATAGTGGATGAATTTGATTGCAATTCTCAGCAAATTGCCTTTACATTATTTAGTTTTAACTATTATAGTGAGAACTGTCAGCTCTTTATCTAATCACCCATAATGTATCTTTAAGTTAAATAATTTGTAACATTGTAATCATGTGACGATGTAATTATGCTCTAACACTATATCGATTCATTCCGAAAGAGGAGTACATGAAATCGATAAAACCCACATATAATCGACCTCCATGGTTCACATAGGCTATTATTGAATATCCTTTTCTGGACCTAGCTTGGGCTGCCTCTTTTTATGTCATGAACTTATAACGCAAATTCAGAAAATTGAATTAGAAAATTTTGTTGTATCATGCGCGTATTTATAAATCTGAATGGGTATCATATCCTCACCAGTACTTGTTACATTCATTATTTTACTTAAATCCCTGGTAATTTCTTGCCTAAATTACATTATGCCATAATGAAAAATTAGAATTATGAGGCAGTGTTTAGTTATCGATTTTTGTTTTTCGATATTGGTTAATATCGAAAAACGAGCTACTCATTTTTCGATATTGGCGAATAAGGATAACAGCTACCTCGTTTTTCAATATTGGCGAATGTCAAAAAACGAGCTACTCGTGTTTCGATATTCAAACTTGTAACACAAAATGCAGATTTGATGGATGTATATGTACAGAATGTCTCCAGAATACATTTGATTAAATCAGTTTTCTAAACAAACTAAAGATGTCATAAAAGAGGATGTCTTAACAGTGGATGCACATAAAAACTGATTTGTGATATTAGCGAATGTCCAAACACGAGCTACTTGTTTTTCGATATTCAGACTTGAATCTCAAATATATAGTTTTTCGTCATGTATATCTACAGGATTTCTCCAAAACAAATTCGATTAAATCCATTTTCTAAACCCAACTAAAGACATCATAAAAGAGGATGCCTGGGCAGAAGATTCACTCGTTTTTCGATATTATAACTTGAATACGAAAAAGCAGATTTATTTAATCAAATGTGTTTTGGAGACATTCTGTAGATATACTTCCATGAAATCTGTTTTTTTTAGATTCAAGTTTCTTCGACATTCGCCAATATCGAAAAAGGGGCTAATTTATCGAGCTAACTTCACACAACCAAATTATGATCACTCACTGTCTGACATACATGATTACTAATATATGTGAGGTCTACATTTCTTAAATTTAATTTTAGTAAATCCCTGTGATATTTCCAACCCCTGTATAAATAATGGCAGGTGTTATCCATCAGAATTTGGTGTGAATTGTAGCTGTCCTTCTGGATTTATAGGAGAATTTTGTCAAGGTAAGCATGTACTAACTTGTTCCCTTAGTAACTTGCATATATTGTTATACTTTACAATTAAAGTTTTATGATTGGTCACAGAGAAAAGCTGAATTTTCTCTTTGCTCTACTGTCGTCTTTAGATGAATTCAGGGCAGTAGTACAATTCGATCGCCCGACTGTCCGTCACACATTTTGAATACAATAACCTTGTTTGTTAATTGAGACTTAATTAGATTAGCTTGATATCTATACACAATGATTATGATCACAAGACAAAAAATACTATTGATTTTCATCGCATTAAATTTATTACTATCAGAGTTATCTTCTATCTTCAAGTTTTCCTTTCGAATCAGACTGATTCAATCTGTTGATTTCTGTGATTGTGTGGGCCTTTAGCAGTGGGAAGAAACCGGATAAGACGAATAAGACTGATTAAATCTGTTGATTTCTGTGATTGTATGGGCCTATTCGCCACGTTTTACTGATTTAAAAAATTGCAGCAAAACCACAATTAAAGATGACGAGGAAACAGCATATTTACATTTTAACTATAACATAATTAATTGATGCCACATTGTCATGAATTTTGACTTTGACTCTATTTCAGATTCTGAAAAAATAACACTAGTAGTAAAGGGTAAGAAAAAATATCGTATTTGCATATTAACTATAATTTGATTAATGATAGTGACGTTGTAGATGTGTGTAACACAAAGTTGCTATTAGAATCATTGCTATCAGAGATATCTCCTATCTTTAAGTTTTCCTTACGAATCAGACTGAATCAATCTGTTGGTTTTTGTCATTGTGTGGGCCTATTCGCCACGTTTTTCTGATTTAGAAAATTACAGCACAACCACAAATAATGATGACGAGGAAACATCATAATTACATTTTAACGAAAATGCCACCTTGTCATGGATTTTTTTCCTATTGTAAAAGCACAACACAAGTAAAAGAGGGTGAGCAAATAAATCGTATTTGCATATTAATTATAATTTGATTAATGGAAGCCACGTTGTAGAGTTATCTCCCTGTGGACGCTCAAGGGACTACAGTTTTTATTGGATTGACGTGATACACAGTCTGATTGGAGTCATCTATTTGAGTCATCTATTTATTTATTTATTTATTTATTCTTCCAAGAGGCATATCATACATGACAATATAGATGATCATATGAAGTTACATGAAAATAATATGAGAAAGTTTTGATGAGAGAAAAAGTAATGATGTCATGGATGACCAGCCTCTTGAGGATAACCCATAAAAACCTGCTTAAAATAAAACTAGGTTTATTTCCAATGGGGTCCTTGGAGGAGGATCAGGTTATGTCATCATAGAGGGGCAGATTCATTTATGAAAGATGAAGGATGGAATATGACAATAAATAGTGAAATGTGTGTGTACCATAAGGGATGTGAAGTGTTGTTTAACATTTTTCTTAAAAGGGCCAATGTTCTCTATTGATTTAAGTTGGCTTGGAAGTTCATTCCAGGCCTGAATACTTGAATAGTAGAAAGTTGAGTATTGAGTATTGAGTATTTTTGCATTTTGGTACAACATAATTATAAATGCTTGATCTAGTACTATGTAGATGAGCATCCCTCACTAAGCGAAAATTGGCTTTCATGTACACCGGAGACACATTATGAAAGATTTTGAGAACATAGTTCAGTTTCAGTTGTTTGACTCTATTATCAAGATTTAAACTATTTAAATCTTTGTACAAATTTTGGGTAATTGAATCTCTGGGACCTAAGCCGTGTATGAATCGGATAACTTTGTTGTGAATAATTTGTAGTTTATTCTTCAGCTTCTTGTTTAAGCCTGAGAACCAAGCTGAACATGCATAATCTAAGTGGCATTGTATAAGAGCATTGGTTAATAATTTCCTAGTATACTTTGTTAAAGACTTGTTATACCTATATAAAAATTTCAATCTGGTATTGACCTTTTTAATAATATTATTAACTATTAATTCACCAGAGAGACAATGATCAATATATAGACCTAAATATTTTACACTATCTGTTGTCTGAATGACATGATCATTACACACTATTTCAAAACTACTAGTTTTCTTTAGTTTTCTACTTGGGCCAAATAACATGCATTCAGTTTTACCTAAATGGAGGGATAATTTGTTGTCTACTAACCAGTCTGAACAAGCCTTTAAGGCTTCGCTAAGTTTTAAAGATACTATTTCAGGATTTGGATGAGAAAACAGGATTGCACTGTCGTCAGCATATAAGATTAATTTACAAGGGGCAGGTATGCTAATGATCATGTCATTCACATAACAGAGAAACAACAAGGGACCCAGGATGCTGCCCTGTGGAACTCCACAAGAAATGTCCAAGGGGTCTGAGAGAGTTTTACCAACGTTGACAACTTGTTTCCTGTTGGAAAGATATGAACGAAACCATCCTGTGGATCGGACGCCGATCATTTCAAGTTTTTTACACAAGATATCATGGTCGACTGTGTCAAACGCTTTTTGCAGGTCCAATAGGACCATACCGGTAAAATTCCCCTTAACATTTTGATCCTTGAGATGATCCAACAAACCGATCAAACATGTGTCAGTTGAATGGCTGCCCCTGAAGCCAGATTGTTGTTCATATAATAAATTATTGTCTTTCAAATGAGTCTCCAGTTGTATATAAACAGCTTTTTCCAGAATCTTTGACACAATACTGAGAATGCTCACAGGCCTATAGTTGCTCACAAGAAGAGAACTGTTTTTTTTTATATAATGGTTTGACCCTAGCTAATTTCAGTTCATCCGGAACTGAATTCTCTGAAATGGATAAATTGATCAAAAATGTAATGGATATTTTAAGGACATCAGCACCATCTTTTAAAAAGCGAGCTGGAATGTCATCTAGACCTGTACTTTTGGCAATGCTAAGTGATTGAAGCTCTTTATGCACAAAATCTTCTGAAACATGATGTAGGCTAAAATTAAGACTGTGAACATTACCAGTTCTGTTGTCATAATCATAAATAGAGGTAGGTATAGGTAACTGTCGAACTAGTGTTGAAGCGACAGTAGTGAAGAATGCATTGAAGAGATTTGCAACAGTTTTCTGGTCATGGACAATCACACCATCATTGGATATTACAATATTAACATTTGCCTTTTTGCCATTCTTATAGCCAAATTCTTTTAAATTTTTCCATAAATGTTTGGGGCTATTTTTGTGTTCGTTCAGTTTATTACTCAAAAATGTACATTTTTCCCTTTTAATGACCCTCTGTGTATTATTTCTTACTTTACAAAAACTTTTGTAATCAAATTCATTTTTAGATTTTTTGAAACGTGCCAAAAGCGAATCCCTTTTAGAAATTAATTCCAAAATGGTGGATGACACCCATGGCTCAGTCCTCTGTTTTAGTCTAACCTCTTTCACTGGAGCAACCGAATTTAAGATTTCCAAAAAAGTACTTTTAAAGCCCAACCACACTTCATTGACATTGCCTAAATTGAAACAAGTTTCCCAATTTGCAAAAGTTAGCTTTTCTATGAATTCATCCCGATCATAATTTTTGAGAGATAGAATTTTCACAGTATTATGCAGATTTATAGGAGTTTTTGTACATTTCCTAATACAGTATGTTATGAAATGGTCACTCAAACCTGAGTGGATTACCCCAGATTTCAAAATTTTTTCAGGAAAATTACATATGATATGGTCGATAATGCTTTTCGTATTCAGAGTAATTCTGGTATAATCGGAGATTATTTGAGTAAAGTTAAACAGCTTCAAAAGATCTAAGTAATTTTTACATGGCACGGTTTCAGTCTTGGTAACGCATATGTTTAGATCACCAAGAATAATAGTTTCATAGTCTGTTTTAAAATTTGAAAGGAATTCTTTGAAAGAAGTTAGGAAATGATTATGGTTTGGAGGTCTGTACACAGCACCCACTAGAAGAGGTTTGGATTTCGGCAACAGAAGATCGATAAACACAAATTCCTCATTAGTGTCGCCCCCTTCTGTCAATATATTCAAGTTTTCCTTTCGAATCAGAATAATTCAATCTGTTGATTTCCGTGATTTTACTGAATTAGAAAATTGCAGCACAACCACAATTAAAGATGGCGAGGAAACACCATATTTACATTTTAACTATAATATGATTGATTAATATTATGTTGTCTTGGATTTTCTCTCTATTTCAGATTCTGAAGGCGCAACGCCAGTAGAAGAGGGTAAGAACAAAAATCAGTTTTGCATATTAACTATAATTTGATGTTGTAGATGTGTTATAACTTTTAGGATTACACAATTCCAATTGATGCAATGACAGATGATTTGGTATCTGGACCTAACTATAGATTTAAACTTATCACAGGCGGTAACCTATCAAATAAATATATTAGGAACAAGAAGAACAAGATCTTACTATTAGGAGAAAATTTATTTTAGATTTAAGGTGAAATTCTTACGTGGAGAATGTGTTGTGAGCCGTATCTCTCTATTGAATGATCACTGTTCCAGGTGGTGATCAGCCGTATGATCATATGCTGCGATTAACATCCAGGGCACAATGATTTCTGAAGACGGGGAATATATCACATATCTTATAATAAGTGTTTATTTATATTAACAACATTATAATATTATTTTACAGTGAGAGAATGTAACGTGACAGAGTGTAAGGCTATTGGGGGAATGTGTGTCATACAAAAATGTCATACCGATGGTAAGATACCTAGTCTTCTAAACAAGCCTGTTATATATTATTCAAATAACACTGAAATAACTATAATGGTGTATGCCACATGATACTATTATATGGTATTTATAAGGTGGTATTTACTGATAAAATTTAAATTCCATCATATAATTTGATGATTAACTAGACATATTCCTTAAATTGCTTTGTCAAATATCATTTAATCATTTTTATACAGCAACATGTAAATGTGGACGAATGTTGTTGGCGCCCCTGTCCGTCTGTCCGCCCGCCAGTGTGTCCATCAATCCGCCCGCCCATCCGTCTGTCCACCTGCCCATCCGTGTTTCTGTCTGTTCACATTTGTTTCTGGACACTCTATAGGTCACCACAGTAATCTGATTTTGACGAACCGTAAAATAAAGGTTGATATTCAAAAGATCGGACATCATCTTCATGGATAATGGCCCCTGATTGTACGAAGAATGACGTTTGTTTGAAACCTGTACTGTGTTTATATCCCAAAGACCCTCTCGATATTCGCGCATATCGGACCTAACTTCCTTCATTATGGTCGAAAAATCACATTTTCAGCTTGTGGACCCTCTAGAGGTCATAATTTTTATCCGAATTAAAATAAATGTTCGAATATATCAATGTTAGACGATAAAGATGGATGAGTACGAATTCCTGGAAAATTGTTCCGAAACTGCAAGGTAAATTGGTCGCTCCATGTACGCAAATAATGTAGAATTATTTAATATCAAGGTTGTGGACCCTCTAGAGGTCTCAATTTTCATCCGATTTCAATGAAACGTGACATGTATGTTTATATCCTAAAGATCGCCGTCCCTGTCAATATTACCGCATATCGGACCGCAACTGCCTGGATTATGCCTCCTGATTGTACGACAAATTGTGTTTTTTAGCTTATGGACTCCTTAGAGTTCACAATTGTTATCCTATTTTGACGAAACTTAAAATGTTTGTTTATATATCAAAGATCTTGGCTCCGTTTGTTATTGTCTCATGTCGGACCGTACAGTGTTACAATTATTCTATATTTTACCCTTTTCAATGTTGCTTTCATTATAACTGTATTTTAACATTGCATGTTACTTCACAGTCGGTAATGTAACTTTACCGCCAGCTATTCTACATACAAGGTAAATTTACATATATGTAAACACAGTACACGTAAATTACCATGAAGTTAATTTATACAAACCTGTAAAATAATATTGCGTAATTATACCTCATTACAAATGGCAATATTTCTGAAACCATGGCAAGATTTACATATTGTGTAATTTGCCGAGGTAAAATTACGAAAGGGAATGCTATCCCCGCTTGGCTATGTATTCCTAGGTTCGATCCTGGCAAACACAGACAGTTTTGGGGACCTTTCAGTCAAACTTGTAAAACAACTTTAGACGATGGAAAGAGTAGGTGGGATGACACTGTCTAAGTATAATTTTCCACACAACACAATGTATGGCATAGCATTATTATGTGCATTCAGATGTTCAATAACCTACTACTCTTAATTAGACTAAACTGACTGACAGAACAGTAAATATATCGCACAAAATTCTAGATGTGTTCAATTTACAATTTGCTGCAAAAATGATATTTCAAATGAGGTTTCAGTTAATACACAGCTCACATTTTGTAAACTAACATATGGTTGTAGTTTTACGTTACGTTTGATGTAGTCTTACATACGCCTTGTGTTCATATGAATTTATATCGTATTAAATGTAAGTTAACAAACCATGTGATTTGATAATTCCACCAATGTATTTTTGCTTTGCTTATAACTGTAAATATACGTATAATTTTAACAGTGTAACATCCTGGATTATGACCCCTGAGTATACAAAAAATCGCTTCTTAACTTGTCTTTATCCATATTTTCCAAAATGTGGGCAAATCGTGCATGACAACCGCTTAGTAATATTGCTGAACAGGTAAATAAGTACATGGATAAAACATAATTTTTCCTCAACTTCATTATCTAATTTGTCAATCATCTATCATGTAATTTGGTTGTATTTTTCAGGTACCAATTGTGATGGTAAAGCCTGTAATACAGATAAAAGCGAAATCTGTGTAAATGATACTTGTATCTTCATAGGTAAGTAAAACACGTTACCTGTCTTTTGATTAATGTATATAATTTTATTAACGTGGCTCAGAATTCCGAACGTACTTACTAACGGCTAACTATTTATGAACAGTTGAATTTAAACCCAAGTTCAAAAGATCACCAAATAAAATAAAATTAATGAAAAGTATCACGATAACTACCAAACAATTTCAAGACTTCATAGGAATCTTGATAAAACTTTGGTAAAAAATATAGAGCTGTACGACTTCCTGATTCCACCAGGTTTACAAACTGTTAATTTTTCAAACTACTATTTAATTAATTGCATTACAATTATTCCATGATGCAGTCTGAAAACAGGGCGTTTCCATCTTTTTGATGTTGATGACATGTATGCAAAGTTTCAACACAATCCGTGAATTTCTGCATTATACAGTTAGCACCTACAGATGGTTTACCGTTAATTTGGTGTTATATATATGTTTTATATTTCAGGTGACTATTGTGGGACTATAGATGACATATATAACGCTTGTGCACCTATAGGTATGTATGTTCTTTATTTTACTAACTTAAAATATTATATAATTTGATAATATTTAGTTGATCTACAGTCATGGAACCAATACATGTTGGCATGTTAGGAATTATATGAGCAAATGAATGACAATATACACTATGAAAACTGGAGTGTTATCATCAATGTAACAACATAAAGAAAACATCTATATCTATGATTAAGCCTAGTTGAGAGAAACTGTAAATAAACCCCATGTATTGTAATAGTGTCCAACACTATACATGTAATAGTTTAAATGTTTCAGGTGAATCATGTGGGGATGGCGAATTCTGTACCCGTTATGATAAATGTGTAAATGACACATGTCGACGTAAGTATAATCATAACACTTCTGTTTCTATTATCAATACTTGATCCTTAAATATTTAGTAAAACTTCTGTTTCTATTATTAATACTATTCTACTTGATCTTTCCACATTTAGTAACACTGTCCGGTGTTGGATGATTTGTCAAATATTGTACTTTGTCTACCAAGCCGGTCTGTCCTGGCGTTTAAGGTCCACTTCCACCAAGGGTGATATGGTAGACAAATTTGTCGTCCAGATCATGTTAGCCTTTTATCTTATGAAAGCACAGTTGTATTTTGTAAATTACATTCATTATAGTTACAGATGCATGTGCTTTCAACTCTTCTGTTTGCTCCTACCGTAATGTTCATGGCACTTGTTCGGGTGGTGTTTGTCTCGGTAAATATGATTTATATTATATACAGTGACTCATTTGTACAATCCGGTATATTTAAATTTGATCTTAAAAGGGGGTTGGGTAACGCACATGGTTTTGATTATAAGGCCTGCTATCCATGCATGTCGTTATTGATTTAATCATCGGTAACAACTGCCTGGTCGAAATAAAGCTTGTAGTGTTAGTTCCAAAAGAGGGGCTGTTATCCCTCCCCTTTATCTGGATCACACATATGTTTTGATAGATAGTTTGGTATTGTTGTGTATAATGATATATTACTTATATTTATAGCACCGTGTAAGGAAGGCAAGGATTGTGGTGGTCGCCCATGTGTTGGTGGATACTGTGCAGGTAATTACTCACTATTCTATTTATAATCAATCACCCATCAATATGATCTGATTTGTTTATATCATCCATCAATATGATCTGATTTGTATATATATGTATATATATAAACATGTTTAACGTTTTTATTTAAACATGGACCGTACATAGATGGCCGGCCACGCCAATGAAGCCTTCAGAAATTAGACCTGATATTCGTGACTAAAATAGAACTACCGCACCCCCACTCCTCGAAGCAAAGGGACTCGTTGCCTTTCTATCTGTATACGGATCATGATTTAAATAAGACAGAGAAGACCAGGGCACCTCGTCGTCGTACATTCACCCAATAATGTTATTTATCATCTACCTTGGTGTACTAAATTTTTACACTATTTGTTCTTCACATATAGTAAACTCAAATCAGACCTACTTTTAAACTCCTTTATTCACAAACACATAGTTTGAACTCCCCATCAATCTCTGCCAGGCAATGGCTGTTAGTTATTAACAATAAATGACTAATTTCTACACACGATTGGACAAGTTTGGACAAAACATGGCATGTTATTTTTGAGTAAACACATGAATAAATTCTTTGGTCATACAGGGATAATTCGACCACTGAAGTTGAACCACCTGTTTCAATTCATTAAAACTTACTTGATTAACATTAGAATGTAAAACATATTGCTTTTCCAACGAATCTTGATTTCTTATATACACAGTAAGACAATTTACAATTTTATGACCAGGAACGAGTTTCATGAATGCTTGTTTATTGATAATATATAAACCACGTTTTGTATTTTTCAGTACCTAAATGTGGAGAATCATATTGTCGGTTGTAATCAAACTGGTTTATTTGTTCAGAAAGTCATTATTATTATATTAAATAAAATAAATTGTAATATGTAATAATAACTTATATTAAAATATTTAACATAAACTATATTGTAATATTTAGAAACTTCGTTAATTGATATATTTAACCACTGATATAAGGATTAATATAATAAACTATATTGTAATATTTAGACGTTTCTTTAATTAAAAGCAGTACTTTCTTTATAAATTATAATTCTGAGGCAAAATATTCATCTTAACCAAGAATTACAATATATTCATATGTACTTCATAAAAACAACTAGATACCAACAAGTAGCGATATTAAAATAAAACCTACATCACAAAATAAACAGATTCTATGTTTGATATTTCTTTGTTTGTTGTTTATTTTGTTTACTTCATGTTGCTCTGTGTGTAAGTTATCCATATCTTCTTTACTTTGTTACACTAAATTTCGTTATATACCGATTCACCCCGATTCATGCAGAACAGTACAGTTAAGATTCTTTAAACCCCACTTCATTTCATGAAACATGAAAACGTTTCGCGAAGGGATATTAATGTGACACGATTCGGACAAATTCACCCAAAGTTACCCTTCGTGACACATAAAGATGGTGATGAAATAAGTTACACAAATCAACCAACTTGTATCACATTACTATTCAAAAAAAGTAGGGGATATTTGATTTTGGGGGCATAATACTAAAATATGCAAATGACTACGAAAAAAGTCACTATAGAACCTAACAGAAGAAACATTTCCAGTTACATGTGACGCCCAAACGCACCAATAGCTACCGCATGGAATGCAGGTGATGCTTGGGATCATCATGGGGGTCCAACCCAAGATTTGCACGACTCTGACTTTGAATGTTACAGTCATTGTGGCATTGAATTCCAGGGTGGAAACATCAGTTTAATTGTTTTAGTGACCAGAAAACAAATTTTGATATGCGTCGGCTTACCCAAAATGAAAGGTTACGTGCCCTTGGCATGCTACAGATCGGCACAACACAGGCGGTTGTGGCGCGGACGATGAATGTTTCTCAGTCTGTCATAAGCAGGCTATGGTCCAGATACCGTGATACACAATCTGTACAGGACAGACCACGCTCAGGTCGACCAAGGGCGACAACTCAAGCCCAGGATCGATTTATCCGTACCTTGGCCTTGAGAAATCGTGTCATCACAGCAAATCAGATCAGCGCTCGTCTTCAAACAGACACTGGTGTGAGAGTGAGTGGCCAGACGATTCGGAATCGACTGCATAGGGGTCACCTTCGCGCCCGACGTCCTCGCGTGATCCCTTGTTTGAGAGATCATCACATTCAGGCAAGACGTCGTTGGTGTAGGAATTGTCAACACTGGGATAATCGACGCTGGAGCAATGTGATGTTTTCAGATGAGTCAAGGTTCACTGTTGATTTTCGGGACAGACGTAGGAGGGTGTGGCGTCGTCGAAACGAGCGCTTCCAAGACGTTAACGTCATCAGACATGATCGATTTGGGGGTGGTTCTGTTATGGTGTGGGGAGGCATCACTGTTGCTGGAAGAACGGCTTTACATGTTGTTGCAGGGCGTGTTACAGGCCAGTATTACCGGGACAACATCTTGGCAGTCCATGTTGTGCCGTTCGCACGACGTCATGGCCGCCGTTTCATCTTCCAGGATGACAACGCAAGATGTCACAGGGCCAGGATCGTTACAGGTTACCTCCAACAACAGAACATCACCACATTACCTTGGCCAGCACTGAGTCCCGACCTCTCCCCCATCGAGCATGTCTGGGACATGCTTTGACAGAGGTTACGTCAACGTCAACAACGTCCTGCCAATGTCCAAGAACTTGCTGCTGCGTTGCAACAGGAATGGGACAATCTGGACCAAAATGACCTTAGACGTCTCATTAGGAGTATGCTACGTCGGATCAATGCTTGTTTGGCAAACAGAGGAGGATTTACCCGTTACTGACTTGGTTGTGATGCTGTGGTAACTTTGCTGTTTGACCCCGGGTATCATTTTACCCTTATAATGGTCAGTCTGTGCCTTACTTAGTCTAACGATCATTTGGAATAAATCGATGAATGTGAACTTCATTTCATTTTGTCATTTGTTTCTTCGTCAGTTTCATTAGGTGACTTTAATAACACTTAAAAATCAAATATCCCCTACTTTTTTTGAATAGTATATATTATTTCGTATTCTGGGCGTTTCTGATGTCAAACGTGTCATCATGGGTTAAAATCAGATTTGTAAGGTTTTAACTTGAAAACATTTCGCGAAGGGATATTAAAGTGACACGATTTGCCCAAATTCACTCAAAGTTACCCTTCAAGACACATAAAGATGATGATGTAACGAGTTGCACATATCAAACACCTTTTATTACATTACTATATCATTTAGTGTTCTGAACGTTTCTGAAATGTGTCATTTTGGGTTAAAATCAGATTGGTTTTCGTTTGCTCGATAAATGTATAGTATGAAAGGACTTAGCTCATGTATGAATTTGTAGAGATCAGACCTCTAGATTTGTCACGATATGACCTTAAAGGGAGGTTATTTATAATTTTAAGGTACACCATTTACCCTTGGAAAGAGGATTATATATACAGTATATCATATTTGTCATGTACACTTCCCACGGCAGTGGCACATGGAATGGAGTGGACAGTTTTATTTTACTGCTTGGGGTAGGGTTGGGACACCTTAAAGGTGCAAGTCACCTTTTACTAACACATTGGTTTTGTTGTATTCATAAATTATATGTAGGGATTTCTGTGACTAACTAGAAGAAAATTTAGATATATTCTGACCATTTTCCCCAGAATACATCAACCGCAAGTAAAGTTAAAAAAGAGCAATTTGTAGCTCAAGGGAGGGGGGAATAGAAACCCGAGAAAAGAATTCATGAAACCAAGTTTTTCAAGAGCAATTTGTTGTGTAGATTTCGATTGTGTGTGGTGGTCAGGTATTTGGTTTGAAATATGATAATGTAGATGGTTATTTTATAGCACATTTCATCTATAAATAAGGTATATATGATCCTCCTGGATAAATGTTTTGTTTTGTAAACGTGACTGGTTCAATAATTGTCCATCAAAATAATAGTTAAGAACGGGTTTGCGAGAGCACAATGCCGGTACCGGCACCGGCACCTGATGGGGGCCGATTTTCACCATTTTTACGCACGAAGGGTAACTCCCACAAACCCCACACTATTAGATCAATCGAACCACTTTTAGATTATACAAACTTTAAAGGCAAGTAGAGATGGTTAGTGAGTACAATATTCTGAACGTTTGATGGATCCTCATGGAGAGCTTCTTAGTAAAGGGACTGCAAGGTATAGTATAAGGATCGATAGTTTTAAAACTGTTTACATACATATTAAACACATAAAACGTTTCACTCCGTAAAATACATCGGTGAGGAATTCATTTATTATTTATTTTTATCTTTTTTTCTTTTTTTTTTATTTATTTTATTTATTTATTTATTTATTCAGAATTACTTATCTACTTATTTGTATCATAACTAAACCAATGTAACAAGGTTTTACATATATTATACACCCAAACCAAAAGGAAGCAAATTAATATAAGCCTACTTGGCTTGTTTTGTATCCTATTCTTTATGCCTTTATATTGTATAATATTCTCGAAATAAATACTGTTTACGCCAAGAAGAAAATTGAATAACATTCAATCCGTTGAGCAGTAAATACTATCCATTTCGTTCGAAAACGTACGAAAAAAACCGCTTTATACCTGAAAGGTGTAACATTGCACTGCAAATCAAACCAACGTGGGTTCCACTTCCATACAGAACAAGACATTATAGAACCCCCCCCCCCACTCCAAAGAAAAACAACAACAAAAAAATTCAAGGACGTAATGATGTATTGTTATAAACTATAACATTAATATGGAAGAACCATTACTGATTTATTTAGGCGCCCAAGGTATATTTCATCCAAAGAAGAGGTCCCGGGTGTAAGAAAGGAAAGAATGGCGACGTCTGGCCCGCTTTGCCATAAATGCTACGATCTCTTAGGTGTGATAGGTAAATTTAGGTTTGACTGCCAGTCAGGCCCTAGAGGATTAAGAACGTCTTCTAATATTTCTGTAAAAGATGACTGTCTTCAACACGTGACGTCACATCACGCGACGTCAATCATTGTCTCAATGGCGCATGCATTGTTTACATAAGACGTTACTGAATCGGGCAGAATGCTGCCTTTTACTCATTTTAATACCCATTTACACTAAATAAGAAATAATTTTTACCTACAAATACTCCAAGCTTCTTTATTTATTATTCTAATGCATAAAATAATGTTTTAGAATTTAATTTGTCGGAGGAAAAACTTTAATATTTTTGGCTCATTAGGATGTCGGCCTAATCAGTGATTGTAGCGGCTTAGCGAATATTCACTGCTGATCAGAGTACGCCGCCTGTTCGACGCAGGGTGCAAGCAATGTTCTCAGGGCTTACCGTTGTCGCACCGCTGGCCTTATCAATAGAAACAAAAAACGGCCCCCACAGGGCACCCGACATCCCTTCACGTAGGGACGTCCGACTACCAGTAAAACCTCAAGTCGTCACACGTATTTTTCATATGGCGACGGGCAAATATTGTAATAAAATTTCATTTTCTCCACATGATTTCGATAATCTTGTAAGATATGACCAGGTCTTTTATATAATTTTCGACGTCATTGAATTTAAAGATACATTTCGAAAATCCAGAATGGCAGCAATACCAAATGGCAGATTTTAAGTTACTCGTCATTTTTTCGTGTTGGATATGACTTGTAACATGTCATTTACATAGTTTCCTATGTCGTCAGGTCCAATGCTAATCACAAAAATGAATTCATGATGGCACAAATTCAAAATGAAATCCAAAATGGTGGAATTTTAATTGATCGTATTTTTTCCCCGTATGATATGTCTTGTAATATATCTTACATCCCACTTCTACTCGTTGCCACTGGCAACCTTTGATAAAACTGTCCTGTTAATTTGCAATACATGCCTAAAAGTATCCGTGTATCAGAACTGTACAGAAAGAGCACTGTTCATTTCTGATACACGGACAATTTTATACCGTTTTAGATACCATCAAGCAATAAGTAGCGGACGTTTAGTCCGACCCAGATCGCAATTGAAAACAACAGCTCTATACAATGTACATGAAACAACTAGTCAAAATCATAGTAACAAAACAAAATGGGGGGAACTACATGGCAGTTCAAAAACATATACAATGACATTAAATTAACATAACAACATATTACAAAAATCAATTATTATACATACCAA